GGACAATGAATGGCTCCTCCCAGATGAAATAAAAGAGGAGCAAAGGGGGACCGGAGTTTGCAGGAGACAGTTAGTTCGCTTAATTGGTTGACTCTCCAAGGCTCCTTGCCAAGTTTTGCAGATATTGGCCTGTCAGCTCTCTAAGCCAGATAAGGTCTGTGACTGTAAATCCTCCCTTGAAAGACTTTGCTGGATGTGAATGAGCAGAATTCACAGTCAATTAATAAAAGGGGGATTTTGTCAGAATAAGGAGTTTGCTTCATGCTCTCGGGAAGCCTAGGTCAGAACAAGTGTAAAGTCACCTGCTTGGGCAGGAGGAAGATCTCCAAAGTCCTTTCAAACTCAGTTATTTTGTACTCTGTATTCCTTAGATTGAGTCTATTTACTAGACATTAGCTCATTTGGCTTCTGACCTCCTTTGACACCATCTCTGGCAGAAGCTTTACTGACTTAACAGCCTGCAGAATTGAACTGGCCCTATCTAAACCTTGGCTTTTTGCTCTCTATCTCTTCAGGGTGAACCATGCTTGTCATGCATCCCCCCCGCCTCTCAATCGCAACGGCCGGGGGGAAATGTGTCTGAAAACAGCAATTGGTTGAGACTTCCTGGGCTTCCCGTAAGTATAAACCCTTGATTTTTTTTATGAGCTTATGCCTCTGACTGGTAGAGGGATGAAGAGCAATACCAAGGATGTCAAAGAGAGTTTCTGGTCCTCATGGATATAATGCAATGCCCTGAACATTTTCTGTGAATAGGAAAGTTCATGAGGTCCATATCATCTTCTGGCCTACTTTTCATTTATTGCCTCAGCTTTCTCCTGCAAAGTTGGCTGATGATATTTCAGGGCACAAAATACTGTACATGAATATCCAGATTTGGCTAATGGGGCATTGGGAGGAGGGGTTGTTCAAGGTTGTTTAATTGTTTTAAACTATTTAAATGGGCCATCCAATTAAATGGCAGCATCTAAGATCCAATTTGGGTTGGTCATCAGGACCAGAGGTTTAGTCTTCGAAGCTTTCAAACTTGTACTGGAGCCCATCCTCAGGGACCATCTTTCTCACCAGAATGTGTCATTCTGACTAAACCTCTAGTCCCAGTGACCAACCCAGATTGGATCCTGCAACATTATTCTGGGACCTGTATATTTGCCTTCATTGTTGACAGCATTGTATGAGCCATGGTGGCTCAGTGATTAGAATGCAGTAGAGTAGAGTAGAGTAGAGTAGGGTAGGGTAGGGTAGGGTAGGGTAGGGTAGGGTAGGGTAGGGTAGGGTAGGGTAGGGTAGAGTAGAGAACAGAACAGAACAGAACAGAACAGAACAGAATCCTTTATTGGGTAAATGTGATTGGACACACAAGGAATTTGTCTTTGGTACCAAGGGTCTCCGTGTACATAAAAAGACAAGTTGCATTCATCAAGAATCATAAGGTACAACACTTAATGATAGTCATAGAATACAAATAAGTAATCAGGAAACAATCAATATCAATATAAATTTTAAGTATGCAAGCAACAAAGTTACAGTCATGCAGTCATAAGTGGGAGGAGGAGTGGTAGGAACAATGATAAGACTAATAGTAATAGTAATATTGCAGGCTAATTCTGCCAACTGCCAGCAGTTCGATCTGGCTCAAGGATGACTCATCCTCCCATCCTTCTGAGGTGGGTAAAATGAGGAGCCAGATTGTTGGGAGCAATAGGCTGGCTCTGTAAATCACGTAGAGAGGGCTGTAAAGCACTGTGAAGTGGTATATGTCTGAGTGCTACTGCTATCTAGTTGGCATTAGCTGATCTTAAGAAGCTAAGTCTGATCAGTCCTGATTAATCAGGTGGATAGCTTAGACTTGCCAGGATTGAAGGCTAGAATGGAAAATGGAAAAAAGTCACTAATAGAGGGGCAAATCATTTCTATATTATTACAAAGAAGATTGCTTGAAATGGGCCTGCAAGTCTGGAGATATTATCATTTGTTTAGAGACCATTTGCCTATAAATGATTCTGAAACAAGTAATTGATGACCACTGCTCATATTTAATTACTGAAAAAGTGCAGAGGAGAACAACCAGGATGTTTAGGAGACTGGAGACTAAAACATATGAAGAACGATTGCAGGAACTGGGCATGACTAGTCTAGTGAAGAGAAGAACCAGGGGAGACACGATAGCAGTGTTCCAATATTTGAGGGGCTACCACAGAGAGGAGGGGTGGGTCAAGCTATTTACCAAAGCACCTGAGTGCCGGTCAAGGAATAATGGATGGAAACCAAACAAGGAGAGATTCAATCTAGAAACAAGGAGGAACTTTCTGACAGGGAGAACAACCAACCAAGGGAACAGAAGTTGCCCTCGGAGGTTGTGGGAGCTTCATCACTTGAGACTTTCAAGAAGAGACTGGACTGCCATTTGTCAGAAATGGTGTAGGGTCTCCTGCTTGAGTGGGGGATTCAATTAGATGACCTGTAAGGTCTCTTCCAAATCTGTTAATCTGACTGTTGCAGCATCCCCATGGCCATGTGATCATAATTCATCTGCTTTACAACTGGTATGTATCCCCCTTTGTAATCTTCCCAGATGGCTTTTGACAAGCAAAATCAGTGAGCGTAGCCAGATTTCCTTAATGACTTCCTGATTCACTTAACAACTGCAAAAGTTCTCTCAACAACCATTGCAAAAAAAAGGTCATAAAAATCAGGCATGACTCATTTAGCAACCCCCTTAGCAACAGAAATTCCGGTCCCAACTAGGGTCATAAGTTGAAGACTAGTTTTATTTTTGATCAATTGTCTTGATAAATGCCATATGAATAGTTTCCTCACTGAAGTTGGCCACTGCTCTTCCCACCCCACCCCACAGGGCAAACCTGGCCTCCCTGGAATGCCTGGATTTAAAGGAGAAAAGGTAAAATGTTCAGCATGTATCATTCAGTTTCAAGTGTTTGTTCATTCAGAGTTTAATACAACTTTGACTGTAACTGTTTATGTGTGTATCTGTGTGTTTCATAATATGTCTACAGTGTTCTGTTTTTTCGTTCTTTATCATCCCTGTTTTTACTTGCTTAGATTATTTACTAAGTTATTTAAAGAACACATAAATCTACAGTCTTAGATTTAGGCTCATAAACATGAATTATTGTCTTCTTTTACAAGGCAGGGATTCCAGTGCCATGTTCACAATGCATGAATATATAAGCTTCCTGTCTTGCGGGGAGGCTACATGTTTGCAGGTTTAACCTAATGATCTTCCATAGAAATCTGCAAAGTTTTCTGGGAACTTATGATCATTATTTAGGCCGCTTAATGTCACTTAATGACGGTTTCTCAGATTCTTTATGTGAGCACCAAAATCAATTCAGTGTACCAACTGAGCTGCCAATAGTACTTAATACCATATTATTGTTTGTGTGGAACAAAGAAACGTTGTCACCTTGAGCTGTGGTTTATGTTTTAGCTTATTCCTCCTGCTTTTTCCAGGTTAATCCTTTGATCAATAGGCTGCTTTTATCTCAGAAGTTCCATTATGGCCCATTTGCTTCTTTCAGTAACCCACCTGTGTTTGTCTATTCCCTAGGGAGATGCTGGACTTTTTGGACCTATGGGAAAACCTGTGAGTAGGACCATGCAAGCAAGTTTTGTAATGGTGCTGGTGTCAGGTCTGCAATCCATCTTTTCTTTTTGGACTTCAGGCCTGCCACACATTCTATTATTCATTTTCTATTGTGGGAAAATGGGAGGGGGGATTATATGGAGTTGGGTGATATATAGCCATAATAACATTCTTCTTAGAAACTCACGATCATCCTTTATCTCTGCACCTGACCGGAACTGGATGGGTGGAAGCTGCCTGCATGGCAGTGGGAGATTGGACCATGGGATGGACTTGTGGGTATGAGGGCAAGATCTTGAACTTTCAACTAGGTGGGGAAAATCAGGAAGCTTTCAGATTCGGGTTTCCCCAGACGTGCCAATTAATTAATCCCCAGATGTGCCAATTAATTAATTTGGGGAATCTTTTGCCTCACTCTGATTTACTTTTGGGTGCTATTTGGAATCCTAACAGCTGAGTTCTCTGCAGAATCACCTTCTGTAGTGTGAATAGCGTGAAGATGTTGTGAAAGCATAAGAAAGCCATATCAATTGTGAGAAACCACATTAAATAAAATGTCACCCTCTCTGAGTTCTCAAAGAACAGTCTTTCAGGTCACTTTCCAAATACTGGCCAGTTTGGTCTAGTGGTGAAGGCACCATGCTAGAAGCCAGGAGATGGTGAGTTCTAGTTCTAGACCCACCTTAGCCATGAAAGCTGGGTTAATTTGGGCCAATCCCCAGAAACTGTGAGTCCTGGTTCTACTTTAGACATAATAGTGAAATGATTGACTTTGGATCAATCACCAGGAGACAGTGAGTTCTAGTTTTGGCTTACAGTAGTGGCCAAAATTCTGGAAACCTTTTGGGAAAAGTGTATTTTCTAAAACTAGCTAATAACACCACTTTTTTTGGAGTAGTACCATAAGATTACATATCAATGTAAAGATAATTTAATCAAGAATGTAATGCAATAACTTTTATGAAGGATTTGCTATTAGAATAGTGGTTATAAAGAAGAAAAGTGAAATGAGCTATGCAAAAATTATCACCATGTCAGTTAATACTTAGTTGGGTAACCTTTAGCATGAATAACAGCCGTACAATGTCTTCCCATGGTGGACCAAGTCTTTTAGTTCTGCAGCTGTTATAATGTGAAACCAAGATTGAATGATTGCTCTATTACATGGGTTTTATTGCTGGGTCGCTTCTGACTAACAAGTTTCTTTAGTCGGCGCCATAGATTTTCAATTGGGTTAAAGTCTGAGCTATTCCCAGGCCATTCCAGCAGTGGAATATGATTATCTTGAAACTCCCCCCAAAAGTGGTGTTATTAGCTATTAAACCTCAAAAATACAGTTTTCCCAAAAGGTTTCCACAATTTTGGCCACCACTGTAGGTATGAAAGGCAGATGGGTGACCTTGGGCCAATTCCCCCTCTCTCAGCCCAACCCACCTCAAAATTTGTTGTTTTGGGGGAAAAAAGGACTAGCTCAGTAGTGGGTTCCGGATCCTGGCACAACTGGTATGCTGTGACAGGGCCGGGTGTCCTCGGCAAGTATTCATGCTGCACATGCATGCACATGCCACCACTCCAGTGAAACTCAGTTGCTCGATAAAGGTCGTGCAGGCGCTGCACACTGTGCATGTGTGCGTGTGCAATTGGCCCGTTTGCCTCAAAAAAGGATAAGGAACACGGGCGGGCGGGTGGGCCAAGCGGTCCACCACTCCGGTATGGTGGCTGCGCTTGTACCGAGCCATACCGCCCAGAACCCACCACTGGAATAGCTATGTTTGCCACCTTGACTTATTTATAAAATAATGAAGGTGGGATAAAAATATCTAACAATAACAAAAATTAGTAACCAAGTAAAGGGGGATGCTTTTTATGGGGGTGTAGAAGGAGAGATAGTTGCAGCAAAGAATAGCAATTCTAAATTCTGATGAATGAATCACATATATTTAGGCTCTCTGTGGGGTTATTTTCCTCTTCAGAAATTCTGTTCCAGATGTTACAACACAGACACTCACAGGCAGGAGCTCGGAGAGCCGCTCAATATATTCTAACACTGGACAATTAACTTTAATGATTGGTTCCATTATCTGTCTAAACTACAATGCCAAGATTAAAGATTAAAAGAACCCTCTGGCTTTCCTCCTTTCCCACTCCCTCCTTAATTGCATCTTAACTTATTCTCTTTTTTCAGGGAATCCAAGGAAATAAAGGGGACACTGGAGGTCCAGGAGTCAAAGGCGAGAAGGTGAGCACCTTGATAACAAGAGATGAAATGAGTGTGATATACTGGTTCCTCTAAGAGAGCTATGAGTTTTGACAAGTCTTTTCTCTTATCCCACCACTTTTTCTCAGGGTGAATCGTGCACATCCTGCTCTTCACTCGAAGGTGGACCGGTTACAGTGAGTGTCCCTGGACCCCAGGGTGAAAAGGGTGAACCGGGACTCCCTGGGATCGGACTTCCTGGAAAACCAGTGAGTGGACCTCTCCATTATGTCTCATTTGGGGAGAGGGGAGCTGTTCTCCTAATAGGACTTGTTGGAACATGGTCCCTAGATGTGAAAGGAAACCACCTTTTCCTGATAGAGTGAAATGCATTCATTCATTTTGTAGTTGAGGTCCACAAGTAGTGCAGCATAGATGCAGTGCTATTTGTTTATTCAATATCTATTTGTCTATTTGTTAAATGTACTGTATTTTTCGGAGTATAAGATGAACCAGAGTATAAGACATACCAAGGTTTTGAAGAGGCTAATAAAAAAAAGTTTTTGCACTCTGCAAACCTCCCAAAACCTCCTTTCCAAAAAAGGCATGAATAGCCCTTAGGAGGCTTGTAGAGTGTTCCTTGGGGGTGGGGGTGGGGCAAAAATGAGCAAAAAACCAGCCCGTTTTTGCTCATTTCTGCCCTCCCCAGCCCCCAGGAGCTCTCTGAAAGCCTCCTACAAGCTATGCATGGCCAATTTGGTGAAGGGGTGGGGCTTCAGGAGGCAAAAAATGCTGTATTCGATGTATAAGACACACTCAGATTGTCAGCCTGTTTTTTGAGGGAAAAGGGTGCATCTTATACTCCGAGAAACACAATATATGTTGCCCATTTCAACAATAAGATGACTCTATCAATGAAAGAGGATTGAATTTAAGTGGAAAGGAGTCTACTTTTGATTTT